CACAGAGATCCTTAACCTACTATTACTTCAAATATTTCTCGTGTTTTAATTTTAACTAAATTCACTTTAAAATCGTTCATTTGTCATACACACACATACAAGTACAAATGCCTAAATCGTACAAGAGCCTAGCCTATGGGTCTATTTCATTATCATGTTTAAATAGAAACTATTCTGAATCTGATGTACGGATTTCTTTCTTGTACGGATATGTGTCTTTGGGCCAAGTTTCTTCAATATATTTGAACACATTAATTACAAACGATGTATACCTAAACTTAAATAACTTAATAACAAAAACAAAACAAAGAAACAAGATAAATTCAACAAAATAGGAACGCGAGCGCAAACGACGAGAGAGCTGTCAATGGCGCCGGATCAACCGACTAAACGTAATACACGCTACTTTCATTGTCGCGCTACATCTTAGTTGTACTCTTTAATTTGACAACATTATTTTGCTTCGTTCTTAAAGAAGGGTTTTGGATACCTGGGATTTTAGGCTCTTTATGGTGTCTATTGTAATGAAATATTATATTATTTAATAAATGTTATTAAATTAATATCCTCAAGCAGATATATATAATATTTACTAAGAAATAAGTGAAAAGGAACAGAAACATAACATTTAATAGAGAAAACTGTCGTAAAAAGGGCAACAATTTTATTTTCTTATGAAGAATTTTGAATCATGGAAATGTCAACTATAAAGAACTCTTTTTATGGTTTGTTTACAAATAGTTAACTACCTAAACAGACGGAGTATAGTATATTCTCTTTAGATAATGTATCATTTGTTAGAGTATCGGCAGAATTGGAGGTGATAGAATCATTTGATTTTGTAGGATTACTAGTGGATTTGGCAAAGATAGAGTCTTTATTTTTTGTAAAATTATTAATAGATTTAGTAGCGATAGAGCCATAGTTTTTTATAGAATTACTAGTAATTTAGCAAGATAGAGTCTTTTTTTTGTACAATTAGTTATAGATTTAGTAGCGATAGAGTCACAGTTTTTCATGGAATTAGTAGTAGATTTAGCAAAGATAGAGTCTTTATTTTTTGTAGAATTAGTAATAGTGATAGGGTCATTATTTTTTATCGAATTAGTAGTGGATTTAGCAAGGATAGAGTCTTTAATTTTTGTAGAATTAGTAGTGAAAGAGCCATTGTTATTAATAGAATTAGTATTAGTGCCTACGACGGCAGGATTACGCCGGCACTGGTTCGTAACCTGACCATTTAGTTTAAATCGTAATCCATTATTTTCATCGGTCTCCGTTGAAACTTGAGCGCATTCATTACTTTGTTCGAGCGTCGTATTCTGGAAATTTCCGCGATCGAAACGTGAATTATTATATTGTCTTTTACGACATTGTGAAATATCGTGTCCAATATTTTTGCAGTAACGGCAATAAATTGATTGGAAGTTGAATGTTGGTTATTATTATTAGCACGGGGTTTATTTGTGTGATAAAATTGTTGTAATTTGGGCGGAAACGGAGACTTATTTTGCTTATTTTTAAAACGACATTCAGACCGGGAATGACCCACTTTATTGCAAACTTTACAGAAAGATTTGACTGAATAGTTATAAATTTTCTCCTCTTCAGTAGCAATACTAATAGCTGCGTTTAGATTTCGAGGGTCACGGCATCGGACAATATTATTTAGTTTTGGATGAAGTCCGAGACAAAATGTGTACAATGCCAGATCTTCTGTCATTGCAATACGGCCTGGGAGTTCCTTTTTCAACGAATCTGAGTTATGAATTTCGGACTGCAGATCCGTCAAGCAGGTCTCATCCTTAGGGCATATTGTGCTACGGTTTCATTAGGCAATTGCTTACAGGACTGTGTAGTTCTAAGAGAGATGATTATAATGCTTTCGTTCGCCGAAATTCTGTCTTAAAAATGATCGCAGGTCCTCGAAACTTTCGAATATTATTGGAACAAGCTACCTGTGCTTTTCCCTGTAGTTTTGAAATCATAAACTTTAAGGAAGGGACTTTTGACTCTCGGATGCTAAATCAAGAGCATTTTGGCAATTAGTTAGAAATGCTGACAAGGTTTCTCGTTCTCCTTGGTATGGGTTTATGAAATTACATAGTACCTGAATTGGGAAAGGTTCGGAAATAGTTGGTGCTAATTGTCGTTTTTCACCTGAGTTGGCCATTTTTACTAGGTGCGGGAATTACACAGAGTATAAGTAGGACAGAGATAAACTTATGTGGCAATAGCAACAAAATAGGTATATTCTACTCACAGCAAGGCGACGGCAACAGCTTGGAGGACGAAACACATCTTCATTGACTTCGGTGAAAAGCCTGCCCAATGGCAGACTAGATGTAGCCTCAGCAGCACCTCACACCTCGCGTGAGAGAGATCTTCGGTTGCAGTCACCGATGTAAACGAGACTGCTCTGGAGATTCGTTGACTTTTGCCACGTATCGTCCACGACGACACAGCGAGCCACAGAATAATTATAGAGTTTGTGGAGTATGGTGTGAATTTAGTCGATAGAGTCACAGAATAACGAATGGCACAGAGTTTATGGAGTATGCGGATTGAGTCGATAGAGTCACAGAACACGCGTGTGGCGGACCGGGATTTTGTTTTGTTGATAGCCAGCAACGATATGCACGATCGTATCCCACTTCTGACACCACTGTTATCGGGTAAAGTCTTACTCACTTAAAAAAAACACTTTTAGAATGTCCAGAAATATAATAAGAAAATAGTAAAATTACAAAACCCTTAGTGTGTCCGCCACGAGGTCCAAAGTAAGTGTGTCATTCTAATAAAGGAAATGAAACGTGTAATGTTAGGTAAACGTGGCGCATCAACGTGAGCAACGGGGATGCGGTGTCAGCGGTTTTATTTTAAATGTCGGGGCTATAATAACTTATAACAGGACCAACCATCTCAAGGCGGCGTCGAGTTTTTGGTCCACAAATCCCTCGCAGACAGCGTCTTGGAGATCTCCAGCGTGTCGACTAGGGTAGCGTACCTTGTGATAAAACTTACTAAGAGGTATAACCTAAAAGTCGTCCAAGTGTACGCCCCTACCTCGACATATTCGGACGAAGAAGTAGAGGAAATGTACGAGGACAGTTCTAGGGCCTTGCATACCTCCCAAAAGGCTCACTTCAACGTTGTCCTGGGGCAAGCAATCGAGTGAAATCGGGGGTCAAAAGTTTTCATCGAGTAACTAGGTCGAGCCATCTGACGAAGCTGACCACATCTGAGGGCAAAGTCGTCGAAGGCTTGATGAGTTTCAGCCCCCCGAGCAGGCCGGGTTCCGAGGAGGATATGGTACCATAGACCGCATTCACACGATGAAGCAGATTATACAGAAGACCGAGGAGTATAATCGGCCTCTATGCTTGGCGTTCGTGGACTATGAGAAGGCCATTGACTCTATCGAGATCTGGTCTGTTCTGGAGTCCTTACAACGGTGCCAAGTCGACTGGCGATATATACAAGTGCTGAGAAAACTGTACGAATCTGCGACTATGGCCGTCCAAGTACTAAATCAGCAGTCTGAACTTATTCACCTGCATCAAGGAATGAGACAAGGGGATGTTATATCCCCCAAATTGTTCACAAATGCTATGGAGGATATGTTCAAGACACTGTATTGGAAAGGACGGGGCATAGATATGAACGGCAAGGTCTATCTCTCACACTTGAGCATTGCAGATGATATCGTCATCGTGGCTGAAATCGTTCAGGACTTGCAATATATGCTGAGCAGTCTGGCTGATTCCACCGCGCGCATTGGGCTCCGGATGAATTTGGACAAAACAAAAATAATGTTCAATGAACATGTTATTCCGGAGACAATTGTTCTCAAAGTCGCCTCTCGATGTCGTTCAGGAATACATCTACCTAGGACAAACCCTGCAGTTTGGTAGAAACAGCTTCGAAAAGGACGCCCGTAGAAGGATACAGCTTGGTTGGGCAGCATATAGAAACTTAATCAAGTCTTCTCGTCTCAGATACCGCAAAGCCTGAAGACAAAAGTCTTCAACGAGTGCGTCCTTCCAGTAATGACACGTGGACACTGACAGTGCGACTGGTCCACCAATTTAAGTTCGCGCAGCGAGCTACGGAGAGGGCTATGCTCGGAGTCTCTTTGAAGGATCGAATATGAAACGAAGTGATCCGACAGAGAACCATAGTTATCGACATAGCCCGAAGGATCAGTAAGCTGAAGTGGCAGTGGGCCGGTCACATTTGTCGAAGAACCGATAACCGTTGGGGTAAACGTGTTCTAGAGTGGAGACCGCGTCTAGGCAAACGCAGTGTAGGGCGCCCCCAGCTAGGTGGAGTGACGACATCTGCAAGGTGGCTGGCAGTGGTTGGATGAGAAGAGCTGAAGACCGAGCTCAGTGGCGTGCCATTGGATAGGCCTATGTCCAGCAGTGGACGGATACACGCTGATGATGATGATGAGGATAATTGACTAATTTTTATTTTAAAGTCCGTCTGTAAAAAACTATTTGATACATATTTTTTTATTTTCTTAATCCCAAATACTTAAGTACTACTTCATATTGAGTACAATATGAAGTAGTACTTAAATATCGTGCCATATCTGTCATTTTACAAGGAATTGGTAGTGACAGAAGTATACTAAAGCACCACTTCAAATTTAGTAGCCTTTCAGTATTCGGGCATTTCAAAAACCAATACTTTCAACGATATATTGATTTGAAATGTCGCGCGACGTCACTTCTAAGTACGTTTTATACGTAGAAAAGACGGTTTACCTCCTACTCGTAAACTTCGATTCGTTTTATCTGAGTAATTTTATTATACAACAAAATAAAAAATACGTGTCTAACATTTTTTCATTACACTGAAGAACTAAATACATTTTTAATTTTCATACACGGTCATCATCCCTATTGTTATTATACGTAGCATAGCATTATTCAACAATTAAAATTTAAAAAAAAATAGTTGCAAAAAAGTTCTCAAAAACACTCGTATCTTACCTTAGAAGTACTCCACTCAGGTACAGGTCTGTCGACTGGTTCCTCGTCCTCATCAGAATTGAGGTACTGGAACCCATCCGCCATGTATGCAGGGGACAGTTGTGGCTGCCATCCACTCGGAGTGCCGGGGCCTTTTAGCGGGGTGTGTGCTGGGAAGAAATTTAATAAATCCATAGTTTCACAAACTTAAAAATGTGTGAAAACACTTGATCAAATGCTGTCTTGTCGAATCATCTACAGCTGCATCAACAAAGGCACCTTTGATAAAATCACTACATAGTATAAAACGAAGTCGCTATCCGTGTGTGTGCTAACAAGCTAAATACTCACTTTTATCTTCCATTCTATGTTTCATCTTCTGCTTCTCTATGTACTCCTTCTGTCTTTTCTCAATCTCTTTCGCCATGATTGCTGCTTCCTTCTTCATACTATAAATAAAGAGATGTATTTAAACCGATACTTTTTAATCGAAAAACATTTTTATGCAAGAAATTAAGAAAATTGAATGATTAACTAAAATCGCGGGTTACTCACGTAAATATACTGAGAAAAGCTCATGAGGAAGAACCCCTCTGTGATCCGAAACTAGTAGAGCTTTTCTCAGTATATTCACGTGAGTAACCCGCGATTTTAGTTAATTTAGTATGTCTCACGATAGTTATTATTAAAACAAATTGAATGATATTTACATGTTTGGTGAGTTAATATAGATTGTATACTCCATGTACTCATGTTTGACTCTCATTTTTTTAAACTTCTATAATATATTTATTTTGGGGGTTTTATCCACGTGGATATGCCAACCCTAACGTTGAAACTAATTTCTATGTGGCTACTTTACACATCTGAGGCATGGTAACAATTTTTATTCATACAGGACAAAATTATAGTGGAAGCCAGCAGTATACTTTTCAAGTATGAGAGCTATGTTGCTGCATGAATGCGCCGGCTCGACCGGAGTGATACCACGGCCTCACAGATAACCGACGTGAAGCAACGCTTGCGATGTGTTTCGTCGTATGAGTGAGGTTACCGGAGGCCCAATTACCCTCCCCTTCCCCAATCTCCCCAATCCCTGAATCCCCATCGATCTTCAAACTCCTAATTCCCAAAAAGCCGGTAACGCACTTGAAACGCCTCTGGTGTTTTAGGTGTCCATGGGTGACGCCGATTGCTTACCATCAGGTGATACCACTGCTGGTTTACCGGCTTCTCCCATAAAAAAATGCAAAAATAAAGCAGTATACTAACGCGGCCGCCTCCTCCAACTGTTTCCTCCGCGCCTCGTCGGCCCGCCTCTGTTCCTCGGCCAGTCGTTGTTGTCTGGCTTGTTCCTCGGCACGTCTTCTCTCCTCCGTCTCGGCTACTTTGCGAGCTAACTCCTGCTTTTTCTGAAAATTTTGATAGCGAGTATGATGTGAGATTTGTTTGTAGTACTTATTATGGGCGCATATGGTATTATACGGAGATACCGTTGAACGTGGTCCATTGAAGTGGAAGGCCGAACACATTTTTTTTAAGGGGGGAAAATCATCGTATGACTGCTCCCGCCTGGTTGAGGCGGAAGGGAGTGTCAGACTCTTACTGACTAAAAACCACCCCGTTCCTTCTCCTGCACGTCGAGCCGGAGCCCCGGTTACCCGTTAGGTTCTCCGCGATAAGGCACTTATGGCTATATTGTTGGAGTGTAACCGATTGGGTACTTTCCTTAATCAAAAATAAATTATTGCGAAAGTTCAATACAATAAAATATTAAAAAATAATCATAACATAACATAACATCACGCCTTTTATCCTCAAAGGGGTAGGCAGAGGTGCACATTATGCCACTGTACAATGTAACACCCACTTTTCACTATTTATGTTATGAGTCCCATGTAATAGGGGGTGAGCCTATTGCCATATACCGGGCACAGTTCCAGACTCCGTGCTACTACTGAGAATTTTTTTAAAACCCAGTAATACTTTGCCCGACCCGGGAATCGAACCCGAGACCCCTTGCTCGGCAGTCGCAATTGCCACCACTCGGCCAACGAGGCAGTCAAAAAAAATAATCACACTTTCATTAATTGATTTTATGACCAACTTAATTGTAAGCATTTTTGTAAGACATAGGTAAGTGTGCTATTTGCCGCTAAAGTAATGTGACGTTACAATACACAATCTCGTACAAAATTCATAAAAAACTGTCGTTTTTGACAGTTCGAAAAAAGTATTGAATTTGACTAGTTGGCAAGTACGCAATTAATTAAATTTTTATAGTACGGTAAAATGGGGTGAATAGGGTTTGAGCGGCAAAAAGGGACAGAAGAGGGGTGAATAGATATATGGAAATTTCCATTCACCTCTCGATCTCTATTCACCCCATTGGACGGTAGTTTTTAACTTTGATAATGTGTTTGTTTGTTGTCAGTAAGTAGTAGTGGTGTACAGACCCGCTCTGCCTCCCTCTGCCGGTCCAGTTTCCCCTGGTCGGCGTGTGCCTGCTTCTCCATCCGCTCGCGCGCGGCCAGCTGCAGCGCGGCGCGGCGCTCCCTGTCGGCTGCCTCGCGCGCCGCCGCCGCCGCCGCCATTTTCTCCTCGCGCTTTCTACACAATTATAAGAAATACTAACGGACCCAACAGACGTTGTCCTGCATATCCATTTGAATGTATAAACAATAATTCATTCAAATTAGTTCAACCGTTTAGGATAAATAACCTAAACATCGACTACAGCGCCATCTGCCGGGCTGATTTGTGATTCTAAACCATTCCCAGGTCCCTTAAACATACACAAAAAATTTCATCAAAATCGGCCCAGTCGTTTGAGAGAAGTTCAGTGACACACACACACACAAAAGAATTATGTCATATTATTATATAAAGATAAATTTCTTTATTTCTCGTCACATACGAATTATGAACGACTTTGTTGGTAAATAACAATGGGGCTCATAGTGCAGCTATGGTGGTGAGTGATTAATAATGAAGCTGACATAGGTATTCTTTTTACCACGACGACGGCAATAAAGCTAACGGCCCATCTGAAGGTAAGTGGTTGGCACTTATGCCACTGTACAATGTAACACCCACTTTTCTATTTATGTTATGAGACCTATGTAATAGGGGGTGAGCCTATTGCCATATACCGGGCACAATTCCAGACTCCGTGCTACTACTGAGATTTTTTTTAAAAGTCCATTAGTCTTTTGCCCGATCCGAGAATCGAACCCGATACCCCTTGTCCGGCAATCGCCCTTACGACCACTCGGCCAACGAGGCAGTCTTTTTGACACTACTACCGCTTTTATTTCAATTTGACTTGCAAATCGTATCAAAACACTATCCTAAGTCCCCCTTACCTCTTCTGAAGTTCCCTCTTAGCCTCTAGCATGGCTTCCTTCTTCTTCCTAGCGTCCTCCCTCTCCTTCTTGAGTTCCTCCGCCTCCCTCGCTCGGTTGATTCCGCTCAGTTTCGAAGTGGACGCGGGAATCAAAGACTTCGTTGATGTCACTATGTTCGCTCGCGGCTTTGTCGCTGAACTTGATATCTAAGGGAGAAACAGACATACATTAGAGATAATGGAACTCCTAAATGACATGACACTGATAAACTCCTTCCGGTTTATACATAACATAACATCACGCCTTTTATCCCCGAAGGGGTAGGCAGAGGTGCACATTGTCCATGTAATAGGGGGTGAGTTTATTGCTATATACCGGGCACAATTCCAGACTCCGTGCTACTACTACACATGATGCGTACCTGTGGCGGTTTCCCATTGAAGATCATATTGTTCATCTTGTTGAGCGTCTCCGCAGAGAGTACAGGTTTCACTATCTTGTCGGGAGGCGTGTGGGTCTCCTCTGGCTGCTCCTCCTGACACAAGAACAGTAAGAATTGAAGATTATTTTAAGGTAATCTTTCTGAGAGTGACTTCAGTGGTGTATATGTTATATAACATCACGCCTTTTATCCCCGAAAAGCAGGCAGATTACGGCACTTTAATGCCACTGTACAATGTAACACCCACTTTTCACAATAGCGAGTGAACCTATTGCCATATACCGGACACAATTACAGACTCTGTGCTACTACTGAGACCTTTTTTAAAAAGCCCAGTAACACTTTACCCGACCCGTGATCGAACCAAAGACCCATTACCCAGTAGTCGCACTTGCGACGAGTCGGTCAACGAGGCAGTCGTGTATATTTTATTTACGTGAAAATACTCTTAACCGACGACCATGCATGATAAGACTGATGACTTGAGGAAGCGAAAGAGGTGCGTATAAAATCGTAGCAATTAGCATTCCATAGTCTCTGCCTACCCCCATTAGAGACAGGCGTGAGGTTATGTGTCTATGTATGTATGGGAAATGTAACAACTTGATGGTAAGCAATCATAGCCGTCAATAGACATATGTAAAACTAGAGGACAACTTTATTGCCGGCTTTTTTCGAAGAGTGAGGGTGTTGGACCACATCTCTTTGATTATTCCACGCCGGTTCCCTTGGAGGGCGTGGTAACACTTCGGACGAACCGATACCAAAGCACGGTTCTTTAGGAAATATTTATATTCACGTTCGTGAATAAAACCTTGAAAACACATACCTTCTTAGCCATGGCTCTCGTTTTAGTTCTGGTCACTCTCGAAGCCAACTCTTCAAACTGTTGAACCTTCTCTTTTACTGCAGACCTGTAGACAAATCAAGTGATATTTTAATTGGGTACATTCCTTAATCAAAAATTAATAATAACTTAGATTTTCCAATACAATAAAATATTAAAAATTTCACTAATTGATTTTATGACTAACTTAATTTTAGTATTTTTCTAAAATTATGCTTTTTGGCGCTAAAAATGTGACGTCACAATACACAATATCGTACAAAATTCATAGAGAACTGTCGTTTTTGACAGTACAAAAAAAGTAACATCGGAAATAAGGTCTATAATGGAGTTAGAGGAGAGCGGTCATCGGTGACCGCTTGGAGGTTGAGCAGTTAATTAAATGGTAAAGATTAAATTATTTTTGCAATAGTACTTTTCTCAAGTCAATAATGTACTTTAAACTAAACTAAATAAGGCAGGTATTTCCTAACTGTCTCATCATCATCATCAACAATCTATAAATGTCCACTGCTGAGCAAAGCTTCTCACACGAAGGTTGGAGCATTAATCACCGCACTCGCTCAATGCGGGTTGGCAATTACAAACTTATAATTAGAAATTATTAGCCCAGGTTTCCTCACGATGTTTTCCTTCCCCGTTTGTCAGTGGTGTCTAGATAATCTTAGAAAGCACATATAACTCGGAAAAAGTCACATTGGTACTTGCTGTTGGTAGGTTTCGAAACCACACCCTCATTTTTCCTAACTGTGTAAACTGAGCAAAAAAAAAACATTAAAAATAAACAATCTATTTACAGTTCAGTTACCATATCGTTACCACAAAAAAAATGTAAACAAGACACAAACAAATCCGTTAAACCGATTTAATTTTTTAGATATCTCCCCGTCTCTTTTTTTAAGGATGGAGAATCATCTAATGACTCTTCCCGCCTTTTTTTGTTTTTTTAAGGGGAGAAAATCATCGAATGACTGCTCCCGCCTGGGTGAGGCGGGAGGGAGTGTCAGACTCTTACTGACTAAAAACCACCCCGTTCCTTCTCCTGCACGTCGAGCCGGAGCCCCGGTTACCCGTTAGGTTCTCCGCGACACTTCTCCCGCCTTGGGTGAGGCGAGAGGGAGTGTCAGACTCTAAGGCTTCTGCCTTGAATTTTGCGGGCAGCGGGGCGGCGGCGGGGGCGCGGTGAGACACTCCTTGTGACCACCAGAGTGCACCGCTCGTTATCGGCCGCGCCGCTGATTCCGAGAACCGGTCTATTTGATTTTACGCATAAGATCCTACCGCTCCGCGCCGCCGCTGCCCAACCACCCCGTTACTACATATGGTCTTCGAGCCGGAGCCCCGGCAACCCGTTAGGGCTTCCGCGGATATCTGGTCTAAGTATTACTTACGTAGGTTGCATCTGTGGAGGTGGCTGTTTAGGTGGAGTGTGCATGTCTGTCGCGTCACTGTCGTCTGTTAGCAGGGAGTTGTCGTCTGTTATGTTCACTTGTTTTGGATCTGAAAATAATTTTAATTTTGTTATTTTCATAATTAGATTCAATAGCCTATGATAATCTGCTGCTGGAATACAAGTTTATCTTTTCTATACATATAGTAAAATCGTAGGAAAGTGAAAACTGTACATCGAATACTTTTTAAAAGAATGTTTTGGGCGTTGTCTACAGTCAATACCGAAATCAATCTCTGAATCTCTCTCCGAAGTCGCGAGTCATGAATCTCTAGCATGGTTTGATACTAGTCGAGTTCCTCGTCAAATAATTACGTGAGTACGCCAAAATACAATAATAAATTTACCTACATATAACCTTGTTTATTTGTAACTCCTTCACATACTTAAGTTCTGTTTACTAATCTAGTTAAAATAAATAACACTAAAATATAATGTTACCTTTATCGATGACGACTGTGGCATCCATAACATGGTTCTGTTTGTCTAGGACCATTGTTTCTCTATTCGCAGTCTCCAGTACTACTGTCTCATTCAAATTGCGCTGCAAATAGAAATAATATGTAAATAAATAATAAACAGTAGCTATAATAAAAACACTTGCTTTGAATTTTTGCAGACGTAAAGTTAAAAGTCTGGATTAAATAATAGGGTACTTTTTATCCCGGAAAAAATTATATTCTCGAGAGAAAACGAAATTATTGGTATAGATGGCGCTGTGTGTATTGGTATTATGTTACATAGGCTACTGTTTACTCTTTTGTGACGCGAGCGAAGCCGCGGGTAAAAGCTAGTATTATAAATGTGGAAGTTCGTGTGTATGTTTGTTACTCAATCACGTCAAAACGGCTGAAGGGATCAGGATGAACTTGGTAAACGAGCAGACGGATCACCTGATGGTAAGCGATCAGCGCCGCCCATGGATACTCCAAACACTAGAGGAGCCACAGGTGCGTGCCGGCCTTTTAAAAATGAATACGCTCTTTTCTTGAAGGCTTGAAGGTCGTATCGGGTCGGAAATACCGCCGACGAAAACCATTCCTACGGGAACGCGGGCAAATCCGCCGGCAAAAGCCGGTATTCCACAAAAAACAATTATAATAAGTACTTACAACATTCTTGGGCGTAACAGGCGCGTGATTATAAACTCCATTAGGTATAACCACAGTTTGGTCCATATCGCCGACTTTATCAATCACTCTAGTCTTATCCAGAGCGTCTATTTCATCTAAATTCAACCTTGTTAGCTCGACAATAGGCTCCTTTTTGCTTTTATTCTTAGGCGCTTCTTTCTGTAAAATTGGCGATGTCGGTTGTGGCTGTGAGATCCTTTCTTCCTTTGGTGTTATGTTCATTTCTGGGGCTGGTAAGGGCGGCGGAGTAATGTTTTGTTGTTTCTCTTCTGGTTTTTCACTGTAAATAAATTTATGTTAAATTATGCTATGGTATAATTATCTTTTCATTTTTCTTCTCTATGAGATAAGCCGGTAAACGAGCAGTCCGATCACCTGATGGTAAGCAATCGGCGTCGCCTAGTGACAGGGCCTTTAGCCAAACGCCACTTTAGCGTTTATCTACAGAGAGAGTAGAAATCAAAATGTATAAGGATGACACTGACAAGTGTAAAGATTTATGTCAACTCCATATAATTGATTTTCTATTCTACACGTAGACAAGCGCTAAATGGCATTTGGTTACAGCTGCTGGAACGCTAGTGGCGTGAAAATCAGAGATCGATGTAGAGATATTGGCTTAAAATCTTAGTCGCTGCCTCGTTGGCCGAGTGGTCGCAAGTAGGACTGCTGAACAAGGGGTCTCGGATTCTATAAATCGAGTACCCATCCAGTATTCGGGCAATATTCCATCAGCGGATTCTCACATATGATGATGAGGATATCTTTTCACTTTCACAGAATCACAAGAAATATACAGAGAGTATGCAAAGCAATGAGACACAAACCGGCGATTAATTCAGTATGCAGTATAAAAACACATCCAAGCACAATGCCTGGTCAGAGCAAGACTATTATAGAATAAAGACAACAAATAGTTTTATATGAATTATGAATAAGTAAATAAAATAATGATCATTGTTAAGATGTTTTCATAATGGCGAATGGAATGTCTTTGTAATATAGAAATATTTTTTCTGCTTCGTTTGTCGTGATTCTGTCGGTCTAGCGGCCTGAGGTTAGATTACTGGGTCGGGCAAAGTATAACTAGCTTCTGCCCGCGACTTCGTTCGCGCAATCCCGTTTTCTCCCTTCTCGAACATTCTCCTGACAATAACAAACACAACAAAAAAAAAAACAGCCAAATCGGTCTAGCCGTTCGCAAGTTATGGCGTGACAACGGGAAACAGGTTTCGTTTTTATATATAGTATAGATAGACTAGCAGTACTCGCAACTTCGTGCGTTTTGTGAAATATAAGTATTTTATGTTACTACTTAGTACATTATTTACCTGCCAATGAAAGTCCCGTCAAAATCGGTAAAGCCATTACAGAGATTAGCCAGTACAAACACTTAGACAGACAGAAAAATTGTGATAGGTGTTATTTTGGTACATGTATCGTATGTATATTCATATGCATGTAATAAAAAGCGGTTATTTTAATATTACAAATAGACATTCCAATTTTATTTATCTGTATAGATAAGTGACTTACGCTGCTTTCGGTGCTCGCCTAGTCCTCTTCGGCCGTGGTTTTTCAGCAGGAGAAGCTGAAAAGATACGTTTAATTAAAAATGTGTTTCTGTCCTTGATTTACTGACCACAATATATTAAGATTTTTATCTGGATCATTATCATCAACAGCCTATAAATGGTCAGTGGTGACACAAAAGCCTCTTCTCGCACGGAGCACGGCACTGTTGTTCAATGCGGGTTGGCGGTTTCAAATTTATAATAACAAAATATAAGTCCAAGTTTGCTCACGATGTTTTCCTTCACCGTTAGTCAGTGGTGTTTAGATAATCTTAGAAAATTCAAGTATAATTTAGACACATTGGTATTTGCCATTGGTATGTTTTGAACCCGTACTCTCATGCATACGAAGCAGGCGTCTTAAACCTCCAGGCCACCACGACATTACAACATTTGAGATGGATAACGCAAGTAAATTTTGAGAACAAATCGACTTACCAGGAACACTTTCTTGTGATTCTGTAGCCTTCTCTGGTTCTGGAGCCACTTCTGATACTTTCTGTAATAAAATATAAAGTAAACATCGAGAATAAACAATAAAGTAAAATATATTAGCTTTTCATCAAAATTAAGTAGATAATGCCGTAAATATTGTTAATGTTTGAGGAGGTTGCAGGATATGTCTCAAGCCATGACAGGATTTTTTTTTAAGGGGGGAAAATCATCGAATGTCTGCTCCCGCCTGGGTGAGGCGGGAGGGAGTGTCAGACTCTTACTGACTAAAAACCACCCCGTTCCTTCTCCTGCACGTCGAGCCGGAGCCCCGGTTACCCGTTAGTTAGGTCGTGAGCTTATTGCAGTACTCGGCGGGAGTGACCTGTCACTGTCGACCGTTGTACAAGCTATGTTCGACAGAGAGAGCACATGGGATGGAGTCGCTTCTTTCTATGAACAAGTTATGTTGGCCAAGGAAGTGGCTGAAAAGGAGAGGAAGGCGTCAAGTTCTCTCCCCTCCCTCCATAGACGCGCCGGTCGTCAGCGCCGTGAGGCAGCAATGGATTTGCGACTTCCATAGGAGGCCTGTTTTTTTTTTGAGGGGGAAAATCATCCAATGACTTCTCCCGCCCTTAGTGTCAGACTCTTACTGACTAAAAATCTCCCCGTTCCTACTCCTGCACTTCGAGCCGGAGCCCCGGCAACCCGTTAAGTCTTCCGCGGCTCCACCCATGCCATAGGAGGCCTGCGGGCGGTATGCGGTACCGTAGTGTTCTACACGGTACTCGAGGAAGGGAAACAGTCTCCCAGGGCCGCTAACGTGGCGGGCCTGCCGTAAACGTAGCGGTAGGCCGAGGCCGCCGGCTGTGGTGATGCCGTCAGGACATCTCGGGCCACGGACACAAGCAGTGGAGGAACACCGCGATGGGTTTAGCCGGTAAGAGTCCGGCACGACACCCCGACGTGGGAAGTCCACGAGGTTTAAGAAAGAAAGAAAAGAAAGAAAAACTATTTATTTTGCTACGACACACAACAAGAATTTAGAAACTCAAAAGCCCATGGTGCGTCGCAGCGCAAAAGGCTGGAGCTCAGCTTAATACCGTGGACCGGGCACAGAGGCTCGAGCCCACGGCGCTGATTGTCAGCACGAGCCCGTTATAGTTAAACACCTACAAAATTGGTTTGCCATCGAGATAGATAAAAAAGCCTTGACAGGAGCTTAAACTAGTCAAATATATCGTACTTACGGTCGAATACGAAAGGCTCACTTTTAAGATTGCATTTCCGAATTGTAGGCGTAAAGAAATTACCTTTTTAGCCCTGGTACGTTTGGGTCGTGTCTCAGTGGGTGGAGGCGCGGGGTCCTCGGTCTCCGTGGGACGCGCCGACCGGGAACTGGCGCGAGTGGACCGCGCTGACGCCACTAGAAATATAATATAAACATGTGTCATTTATTTCTAAATTATGAACATCATCATTAAAGATAAGTATGTATGAAAACATTGATGAATCAAACGAAATATAATGGAAATGTCCTTTTATGATCTTTTAGGGAACAGAGAGTATAGTTCCCTAAGATCGGAAAAGGAGGATCCTCTGACCAGGCGAGGTGATCGTGCCTGGCGGGCTTTCTGCCCAACAGTTGTTCGTTGGGATTTTCTATCCGTGTTTATTCGCTTGTAAACTTTGCATGTGCGATGTAGGATTCTTGTGACGTCATCCGTTGACATGTGGCATGCGTCGCCACAATCTAATAGTTGAACCCACAGCATTGCCAGCGTTCTTCTAAATTAAAAGTAGCCTATGTACTCCTTAGTACATCAGCTACCTGTCAATAAAAGTCCCGTCAAAATCGGACCAGCCATTTCAGACATTAGCCAGTACAAACAGACAGACAGATAAAAATTGTAAAAAGTGTTATTTTGGTATATGTATACGATACATTCGTATGCATGTAGTAAAAAGCGATTAATTTAATATTACAAACAGACACTCCAATTTTATTTATCTGTACAGATTATCTCCATTTCCCCAGTTGACGCCGATCTGCGACAACTATCTCTGAAGAAGAGGTTGAGACTGTTTGACTAACTCACAATAAACGAAATAATACAGCTCGTTTGTTATAGGTATCGAACTTGTGAGACGTGTTCTACAGCTAAACTAGCGAACACCGTAACAATGAAATACATAATTAATACACATTATGTGTCGGATACTCACTAGGTGGCGCCACATTATCATTTTGTTTCCTGGTCCGTGTAGTTCTTCGTTTCCCTGAACCCTCCTCCTCACTGCTCTCCTCCGGTTTCTCTTTAGGTACCGCTTTACGTGGTTCTGTACAACAAAACATTATGATAACTTTTTTAATGCTAAACAGCATTTTTTTAAGGGGGGAAAATCATCGAATGCCGCCTGGGTGAGGCTGGAGGGAGTGTCAGACTTTTACTGACTAAAAACCACCCTGTTCCTTCTCCTGCACGTCGAGCCGGATCCACGGTTACCCGTTAGCTTCTCCGCGACATACAGGCAGCGTATGGGCTGACTTAGGTGATAGGATACTTGGATTAAATGCTCTCATGGAATAAATAAGGAATCAAATTTATATACGCGGACGAAGTCGCGGGCAACCGCTAGTAACAGCTAATAAGTAAATATTATTTTTTCTGCCTCGTTGGCCGAGTGGTCGTAAGTGCGACTGCCGGGCAAGGGGTCTCGGGTTCGATCCCCGGGTCGAGCAAAGTATTACTGGGTTTTTAAATATTCTCAGTAGTAGCACGGAGTCTGGAATTGTGCCCGGTATATGACAATAGGCTCACCCCCTATTACATGGGACTCATAACATAAATAGTGAAAAGTGAGTGTTACATTGTACAGTGGTATAATGTGCCCCTCTGCCTAACCCTTCGGGGATAAAACGCGTGATTTTTTTTTATGTTATTATTTTTTCTGTGAATTTCGGAAATTCGACTAACATATTGCTTAGCCCGAAGATCGACGTCATCCTTCAATTTTTGGTACGCAAATTGCACAACTGAGGTAATGAACAAATACACATAGTCCATCTTCTCCAGTGATTGTCACAAAGAAATCTCAGTAACATTTTTTTCTCAATAATTAATTAACTATTTAATGTATTGCACTTACTGGGCACGGGTGCGACTGGCGGCGGCATGGCAATTTCATCCTTATTCGGTTCCTCTTTGATTGGAATATCGACTGGCAAAGCGTCTGTGTCCATTGGCTCCGGTGGCAGGGAGACCTTCTCTTGTTTTACTGTTCAACAAAGAAATAATACATTATGGGCCTGTTTCAGAATGTCTGAATAGCTATGAACCTTGGTTCATTATTGGTTCAAATTACGTTCATGTTTATCATTCTATCAGTAACTTATAGTAAAGGTAAAAAAACTGACTTCAAAAAACCAAAACCTAATAACAAACAAAAAGTCAAAACCAAAAAGCAAAAATAACCATAATTAGTACTGATAGGTTACCCACCCACTGATAGGTAACCAGAACTTTTTATTCTCAATCATGGTGGAGAGCCATGCTTCGCCTTAGTGAGCTTGACCGGAGTGATTGCATACTAGGAATCGTGATATAACGACTGTGTTGGGTTTCGCCGTATAATTGAGGTTACTGGAAGATTCCAAAATTCCCAAAAAAGGCTAGCAACAAACTTGCTCTTCTGGAAGTGCTGTGTCTATATTTATTTATTTATTAACACTTCTGTATAACAAACATACGATGGCGGACTTAATGCCGGGTGGCATTCTCTAACAGTCAACCATGGGGTGATGCAGAGATGTGCAACAGTAGGTGTAATAGGTATAATGGTTTATGTGACACAGAAAAATCTATATAAATAAATTCATGACTATGCATAACTGTAAATACATACATAAGTATATCCGTATATATAGGTATAATATAAATTACATAAAATACATTATCAATATTACTAAATAACAATACTATAAAAGTAAATAAATAAATTGGGAATAAAACAACATATAATATATATATATATATATACACATATATTAAATAAAATCGCCAAAATGATAAATTAAGTACGTGATGCGTCTGTCTGTTCCCTCTGCAATAGTTCTGTATAGGTGTTCGTGGTTGCTATCGGTTGGTCCGTATGATAGCTAGCCAATTTATCCTATAAAATAACAAAATTCTAGTCTATACTAGTAAACATAAATATTTAATGGGTACTTACTTTGTATGTTTAGTGGAGGTTCATGGTTTTCTTTATCATCGTCCTTGCGTCGGCGCCCGCGCGACGCCTTCTCCGTGTCCTCACGACGGAGCTTCTGGGATAGATTCACATTCACCTACAAATTAAGCATAGATATAAAAAAGTTATATTGATTGAAGCATTTCTTGTAGAGTAACTAAATCATGTTATTGTTGAAAATGAAGAAGACATTTAAGAACCCATCCCAAAAGTTTGTGTTGGTAACTTGTTATAATACGCAAAACATAAGATGTCACAAAGGTACTATGGCAATACTCACCCCCTATTAGATTGCACTTATAACATAATTAGTGAAAAGTGAGTGTAGCATTCACTTTTTGTACAGTGGCATTAAGTAGCGTAATGTGTACCTCAGTCTACCATTTCGAGGAAAAAAGGCGTTATAATATTTAACTATAGCAAGATTAGAAAGAACACAACTTTTTCTTTCATTTAAAAAAAAATGTATCGCACACTAGGATTGTATCCTGTATTGCGTGTGCGTTTACAAACATACAAGTTCACATACACATCACATCCAGACCCAAAACAACAATTTGTAGATCACACAAAGAGTTGTTCCGTGCGGAAACGAACCCGCGACACGTTGCGCGGCCGCCGGTTGTCCAGCCACCGCACCAACCGTGCCGTAATGCATGTTACTACCAATAAGGATTTCAACACACAACCATGAGAAATCCTGTATGTTACACACATGTCTAATAGATAATTTAAACAACATACAATATGGTTGAGTTCTTTAGCAAAAATGTGTATTTTGTTTTTAAGGAAACGAAAGAAGTGTACACAGCGGATATGTATGGGGCCGTCGGTAGAGGGTGCAGTAAACAGACATAATATACTGACAAGATTGGCAATATATTAAACAAGGGCCTAATTAAAAGTACCCTTAACCGACGAGCATGCATGAAAATATTGATGACTGTTGATGAAGCAAAAGAGGTATGTAGCAATTGGCGTCCGTCCGTGTCCGTAGTATCTGCCTAACCCCATTAGAGACAGGCGTGAAGTTATGTAAGTATGTTTCTTAGGAATTCTCCTGACTTTGCTTTACATGCTTGACTATAAACTTAAGAGGTCAATTGACACTGGAAGATAAAGAAACACATCTCCATAATCACCTGTTTGCTAATAATACTCTGTGCTTTAACTGAAGCATTTCTCTTCTGTCGTTTATCCTGTTCCGGACTGGACATGTCATCCACTTCATGTTTGCTGCGTTTCTTGGAAGCTCGCCGTGGTCTGTCCGAGTTACTTTCTGTGGAACTGCGACCAGTTGTGAGGTCCGTCGTCGATTTGTTGCTGGATCTACGTTTACTGTTGTCTGTTTCCGATGATTTTGATATTTCATCTAAGGAAGGGATTTGTTGATTAATAATTGTTATCCTCTCGTCTGTTGAAAGTAGCGGGTGTGTGTTTTATACCGGGAGTCGGTGTTTCAACAGATAAAAGGTTATTTTTTATATATATTTGAGGATTGATAGGCTGACATTTGGTCACCATCTCGCCTGGTGGTAAGCGATGACCCACAGGCTATGATGGAGAGTGTCTGCCTATTAGTAACCTATTCACTCGGGCCTTGAAAACAGCCAGGTTATATTATAAAATGTATAATTAACTGACTACCAGACACAAACACTAATAACAACTATTGGATATAATGTTGCTGTGTAGTACTTCAAGTTTCTATCTATTTTATTGTGTACCAAAATCAAGTATGTAAATGTAAATCAATTTAGTGAAATTTTCTTTGCATTCCTTTTTCTTACTGTTTGATTCATTTCTTTAACATTACATTTAAATGTAGTCTATGTAAAAATATCACAAATAGCTATTTTTACAGTATTTTTGTTGGTTCGAAAAGTTTGGAAGTATGATAAAACAGAAAATCTTATTAAACAAACTTTTTTGAGGTTTTAATATCTATAGTAACAACCACAAGATTGGTTTAAGTTAAAATACCTAGTACCAGAGATATTAAAATAAGGTAAATTTAAGATTTTACAACATCTATGGTTATGTAGCTGGCTGAACATATAAAATTAAGAAGAAGAAGCGTTATAATCTGTTATTTTACCATTGGAAACTATGTTGTAATTAAATTACATGGCATAGAATTAGAAACAATTTATAGGATAACATAAAAATATGACCTAAATCTAATAAGCGGAAAGCCAATAGAAGTTCAGGAGCACTTCTAACATGTTATTTGATGTTACAAAAGCGTCTTAGTAACAAAAAATGGAAATAGTTCAAGCGTAAAGAACTTTTATGGGTTGTAAACAGGTCCAGAGCTAAAGTATAGTTGTTCAGCCATTATGACCTTACAAACTAGATAAATCGGTGGTAATGAGATAATGGAGCGTTACCTTCATCCTCGTGGATACTCTGAAGGGTCGTCATAGGGTTTTTATCCTTTGTAGCTTTCTCCCGCGCCTTTCCTCGTCCATTTTGAAACTCTTCCTCAAACTTATCAAAACAATCGAACACGGCCTGCAAACCACAACAAAAATAATTTCCACATACTGCTAAACACTAAAAGATATTAACACCACACTTTTAATCTAATTTAAACCAATAAAAACACAAATGAAATCGTTACAGAGGGTAACAGATTGACCGCACTATCAACACAACTTTTTCACAAACACACGTTTTACCTTGAGGTCATCGTTGAAGTTTTTAGTAAAAGCATTTGATATTTCATTGATTTTCGGCAATAACTCATTAAAAATAGACATAACTGTGGTAGAAACTACACTTTTTCAAAAGTTTCGTCAATTTGACAAACGCCATAAAACACTACACGATCGAAAACGGTTTGAAATTGAAAAGACGGTTGGCCAACATTCCGGCATCATAAATTCAACAGCCGTTGGGATGCGTTCCATTACTTCACGTTCGGATACGCTAGTACAAATCGTTTTGTAATTAAATTTTTTGCCGACATATTTTAAAGTTGTTCCTGTTTTGTTTATTTATATTTATACTGGTAAAAGTTAACATCACTTATCAATGAAAAATAAATATTATTTATTTTTATTTATGCAAATATGGAAGTATTAGTATTAATAAATTAATGTTTATCAATGTAAAAATTTAGGATTGTATTTAGAGTTTCAGTCAAAAAGAAATTCTTTATACTTTTTATTAAAATATTCTAAAATAATCACACATTTATTATTTGTTTAAGATTTAATACATAACTTTCTTCTGTTTAGTGCTCAAATTCCTTTTTATGCTACTGCTGAGAAATGATCCCGACCTGGGAATCGAATCCAACGTCTTTTACATTGCCACTGTCTCACTTGCAAACTTGGATGGTTGCAAGTGGGACGGCCGAGTGAGAGTTAAGGGGACTTTTAAAAATACCAGACTAAGGACAGGTAAATAAATTAGTACCTTAAAACAACCTAACTTCCTAATGGTGTACCCATTCTCTATTCAAACTACCCTAGATAAGTAAGTACGTATAGGTATGTATAGCACTGTTCTCAATATAACAGCGCCTTTTATGAGGTAATAAAAGTTTATGAAAATTTTATTAGCGCTCTTGAATCGCTTTTAACGTTAAAAAAAATAGCATTTTCAACAGCTAACGAGGCACTGAATACATAACAGCTAGGAACAATGTTGACAAACCTTATATTACGTTGTAGTGAATTTTCCGAACAGATTTTATTACTTGCATCGTGTTGTTTGTAACTTCAAGCATATTTGATGATAGTATGTGTCGTCACATTAATTCAACACATTAGTTCATTAGTACCTCCGTCTTTTTTGGAAATCAGTTAAAAATACACTGCCATTATCTGTAAAACTTTCTTGTTGTACATAATATACGTATTTACTGTTTTTTTTAATCCATCATAAAGGCCCATTATTTTAGAATAACTCTTACAAAAAAACCAAAGCAAAACCCAACCTATCCAATTAGACTTTTGTAGAAAAAAAACAATTCATTCCCATATTTTCTTGAAAAAACTTTGATCCCAAAGATTGTCTTTGGTAAACAAACAGACATTTCGTAAATGTAGACAAATATCCGAACGTGTTCAAAGGGAAAAATCAAAATGGAGCGAGCGTTTAGTAAATTGCTTGTGACGTCATAGGAGCAATCACGAACGCGGCAGTAAGAAAATATAATGCGACAAAGTTCCAAAAAGTGTATGATAAAGTGAAGGATAGAACTATGTTGTCGTAAGAAAATGTCCCAGCAGGGTAAAGAATGTAAGAGGGGTTCAATTATGTAATTTTATAAGGGCAAGTCTTCACTTCTCATAATGTTAATTTTTTGATTTAAGTACCTATTAATTTATTAAATAGCTATGTATAAAACACAACAAAATAAATTATTATTTTGTTTCAAATACGGCATGGCTGTATTGGCAGCATTGTAATTAGAGTTAGGCACCGATTCAAATTCAGTCATTATCGAATCACCTAATTTTGTCCAAACATAGAATATAAATTAGGCGAGTAGATATTTACTTAAATAATAATTATTAATTATCGTTAGCACGAACACGTATTTCGTTCGTTAAGTTATCCAAATTGGTTCTCGTTACCGATTTAATATTCCACTACCGATATACCGATACATCGGAACTGTCAGTCTAATTAATCGATTGATTGCTTACCTAGATTTTAATTGCATGTCCCGATTTGTATTTAACACGGTTAGTGATAATTTTCCTGTAAATAATTTGATGATGTCTGTAAATTTATGGCTCTGCGAATGTTTTTTGCCCTTCCCGCTACATACCACAGAGAACAAACAAGAGAGCGCGGTTATCTTGTTTGAATGCCATGTACAACAAAATTATGTTGCCTTTAATGTGTAGGAGAGTATTTGTTAAAGGAGATATTTATGTCTTAAAACTTTTTGAATAGTTAGGAAGGTAAGTGCCTATTTATATAAAAACTTTTTTATTTCGGTAAAAAAAAAAAATCATTTGTAGGTATTTTTTCCACGGGATTGGGGATTCGACGATATGCTCAGTTTGATGAGCCCCTCAGCCCCTCTATTATTGGCTGTTTGAACCGAGCCATGTATTTCTATTCAGTATTCATAATTCGAAATCCGAACACATGGAGGCGCCATGTTGGTTTGGAATACATTGTCATAATTTCATTGCCAACTGCAAGCGATCTGAATACGCAAGCCGTGGATACCTATTAGGTTCTACATGAAAATGATTCTCATTAGTGTGTCTCCTGGGTTTTCCGAGAGATATACCTAAATACTTCCTAAAAATACGAGAGATATAAATACTCCGAGATATAAATACAAGTCTCCATATTTTTGTCCATAGGCGGCGCTGATCGCTTACTATCAGGTGATCCGTATGCTCGTTTGACTATTAATCCATAAAAAAAATATCTAAGAAGATATCATAGAGTGCTATTTTGTGTTTAATATTTGACTCGATGACCTTAGATTAACGACAATAAAATAAACAATATGTAGACACATAAATCATTTTTGCGTTTCACTAATGGCAAAGGACTTAACTAAACTAAGTTGGATTGATAAAAAATACATAGTAAGGTCCTAATGCGGCAGCAAGTGAAATGCCACCGTTAAAAAAAAAAAAACTAAAACTCCAACCATAGATAAACGACACAATTTGTTTAGAAAAAGATCAAAACTCATAAAACGTCTTGTAAGTTGTAGATACGAACACTACGCCCAGGCGAATTGCGAAGGAACAATATTTATGATGGGTGTTCATTTTGGAAAAACCTCACAATAAATTGCTGTATTATTCATCCTTATCTATGCTAATAAATCAATACCGTACCCTATATCTTGGTCACGCTTTATATCTCAATAAGTAAATTGGCGTCCATACATTTTGTGTTGAGGAAAAATTCTTCCAATCACTTAAGTTGGCCGGTGCCTGACCAATTTCGGTTAGCATAGAGTAGCGTAGTGTACGCATTTTGCTTGTTCTACGTTCTTTGAACTTTGTACTTAGTACTGGAAGTGTTACGCGAATTATTTATTTATACTATAATTTTTATAAACTATCATTTTCAACAACGTGCTATGCTATTATTGACAATTTCAGAAAACCCTGATGTCTTCTTGTTGATGATTGATGCACCTGTTTGTCTTGTAATTTGGGTGTGTTTACAAAAATAAACATACTTGCATATTATACTAAGACCCTGAAAAACCACTTTTGGACCCACCGACTAACATTTTCGTGCGAGAATCGAACTCGTGACATATTAAGCGGTAGTCTCACAGCTATGAGGCTACTTACAACAAACAAACGTGCCTAAACTGTAAAGTCTTTAAAGCATTGATTCATCTGCATTAAGCATTAAATTACTTACATTAAAAAAAAATCATAAAAAACATAAGTACATTAAAAACAAAAATACATTAAAAATATATTTAAAAAAATACATTAAAAAAATCCAGCCACTTCCATGGTTCCTACATCTTTGTGTCTCGTATAAGTTTGGCGATGTTCCGGGGGTGACTGTGTGAGTCGTCGACAGTCGCGCCACCGTGTCGCCGTGCCGCCATTTTCATAAATAAAACTTTTAATGATCGGTAAAATCGGTCCAGCGCTGTCCTATGAGCTTTATATACCTATTAGTTTTATTTCAATAGGTAACTATTCGAGAGTTGCCAGTTTGGAAAAGATTTTCTCTTTGAATTTGTGCTGGTTAATTAGTCAATGTGATTTTGTACTAGTTTTGTATTTAGATTTAATAGTTCGATGCATTTTTTTAAATAAGTTACCTAATTATGTAGGTAATGGTAATGCTGTATCCCGGTAATGCAGTTTAATCTCAGTAGATAGACCAGGGGGTTTACTCTTGAATCCAATCCCGATCGATCGACATTGGTATTGTGAACATTCGTACTCTTGAGTTTCAACACTAGCGCCCATTGCATCTGTATTGCGTGGTTATTGAATGAACTAAATGGTATTGAGTTTGGCTTTAAAATCCGTACTCTGAATGCTATTTTAACAGCTTCGTTGTATAGTTTTGACATTGAATAATTATTGAGATTGTATTGGATTGAAATTACATTGACATTGAGATTGGTTTCTAGAGTAAGCACTTTGAACAGGCGCAAAGTTCACTTTTCGCCAATGTATGTTATGACTTTACGAGTCCCATGTAAAGGAGGATAATCGTGTTCTAGAGTGGAGTCCGCGTCTAGGCAAACGCAGCGTAGGGCGCCCTCCAGCTAGGTGGAGTGACGACATCTGCAAGGTGGCTGGCAGTGGTTGGATGAGAAGAGCTGAAGACCGAGTTCAGTGGCGTGCCATTGGAGAGGCCTATGTCCAGCAGTGGACGAATACAGGCTGATGATGATGTAAAGAGGATGAGTCTACTGACACCGCCATCGGGAAGAATGTTCTAGACGCTGTGCTTTTTCAGTTTAGAAAACTAGAAATTTTAGCTATTGAAGACAAGAGGATCCACCCTAAGACCCTCTTCTTGGTGGATGCAGTGATTGAGAAGAGATATGAAAATAAATTTACTTAGATACTGATGACTGCCTCGTTGCCCGAGTGGTTATAAGTGCGACTGCCGGGCAAGGGGTCTCGGGTTCGAATCCCGGCTCGGGCAAAGTACTACTGAGTTTTAAAAAAATCTCAGTAGTAGCATGGAGTCTGGAATTGTGCCCGATATATGGCAATATGCTCACCCCCTATTACATGGGATTCATAATATAAATAGTGAAATTTGGGTGTTATATTGTACAGTG